TTGTGGTTTCTCTCAACAGTTTGCAAGATTTTCTGTTCCAACCTTTATGGGGGAAAGGGGTAAAGATGATTTGATGATAGTTTGAGTCTTAGAGTCTTTGTTAACAAGTGGCTGTGACTGCTCTCTTTTCAGATATTTAAGTGAGCCATTTCAGAGAGGCAAGTTAGTCACTTGCCCCCTGCTGATTAATGCTTATCATTTAGAGAACCAGAAAGCAAGCACCTCAAATACTGTTTCTAGCTTTTGATCAGCAGCTACTGGTAGAAGTCAAATGGGAAAAAATGATTGTCAAACATGTCATTTTAATGTGCAAGCTCCATTAGATAACTTCTGCTTCTTACTTTCTTTTATAGTAAATGGCTAATTTTGAGTTGACTGTGATAAAATTGTTTTCTTTAAAGGACTTTTGCCTCTCTGCCTTTCCCCTGAACCAAAACCACTGATGCTGGAAACAGTTTTCCTCTTCCATCCATCCAACAATATCATGCTTTCCTTCACTCTGGGAATTGGCTTCCTGCCCTATCCCAACTACTTAATTTTTTTCTTTACTCTTAAGTCTCTCGATTATCTCATTCTTGCTCTAATTTTTTTCTCTTCTTTTTTCTTCTTCCTGCTTTGGTTTGCTTCCTTTCCCACTATTTGCTTTCCATAGAGGACATTTGAGATTATCTTTTTTCAACTTGGCAAGTGTCTCCACAGAATGTCTGTGTTCCCTTTCCCTAATCCTTCCCACGCTCATCTCCTATACTGGTCTCTGAACTGTAGTAGTCATTTACATCAGAATGAAATGAGTATTTTACTGGATGCCACCTTACATTCATTTCACATTAAAAAAAGTAACTGCACAATGTGAATCACAGGGAATCATTTGCCATACTCTCCAGTATTTGAAGTCTTGTACTGTTGTTTATTCTCACCTTAGACTCTGTAAGGAACTGTCTTCCTACTGGGGAACAAAATCTACACCTATAGAGTAAAACCCATTATGTCAATGGAATTTATAAATGCAAATATTGACAGTGGCAGGCTTCAGACCCAAATGGTAAGGTAGGATCTGCCTCTTACTTTAGAGGCATGTTTTTGATAGTGGGATATAACTGTTCTCACAAGTTACTTCTGGCTTTCAGTTTTACCCCTGTGCCTTACCAAAACGGGAAGTGTCTTACCACCCCCTTTCCTTCTACTGTGTCCAATCTAGTGAGTGAATGCTGAAACAAACATCTCTGATATTTGCCACTTGCTTGTTTGCTTTCATTTGGTATGTACAGTTTTAAATGCTATGCTTCCATCTCTGATGAATCTTCCTTGTAAAATATTTTAATCTATCCTTATCTGGAAAAATTAATCTTTGACTTCATGCCAACAACTGCTTTTGTGTTGCGATGATGAGCTGGATTTGGTACTCCGTACCCACTCTTTTTCTCACTGTCTCCCCACAGACATAAGAATTTGCCACTGTAACGTATTCCCAGCCTCTTCTTATTGTCTTTGTTAGCCAAGGAACTTAGTTTTCCTAAATACCACACAAGCAACTGAGTACTTGAGACTGCTTTTCATATTATCTGCCCCTTGATAGACAAACCAACACAAATTAATAACCTCTCCAGTGCTAAATTACTTTTGAAATTAAAATTTGTGACTAACTTGTAGTCTCAACCTGGTCACCTTCAGTTTCTAGTTGTTGCATATGCTGAGACCTTCATTTGTTAGACTATTAAGCCTATTATTAATTTTTTTTTTGCCTATGTATGTTCTTACACAATAAGTTCAATTTTTTTTCTTAACCTCCCTCTGAGCTAGGCAAATTGGATTGCAGAGTCTCTCAGATATCTTCCAATTCCTAACACTGTAATTCTTCTCATGATACTTTTCTGAATAATTTTCATCAATTTTTAAGCATTTTCATTGAAACAAGAGGCAGAGAGGTAGATATTTCATGGTGGTCACTAACAGTGCTTCTTAGGTAAGTTACACAACATTTTATTGTGTAGAATCTAGTCCAGTTAATTTAAACATCTACACTTTATGCCCTGGAATTTTAACTGATTAATAAAGCTGTCCTGAAGCAAGCATCCAACGAAGTCCTTACGGAAGAAAAGGCTCCTTTGAGGGTCTCCTGGGAAGACCACCAGGAATTAGAGGCTTAAAAAACCTAGTATCTCCACTACTGTATGGGAAATTTGGGTTTATACTTGAAGGCAGTGCATGATTCTCATTGAAACATCTAGGAACAGTTTATGTGCCTGATTTGCTTAGGTGTACTGGATTGCATAATTATTAAGAACCAAGGCACCAAGGTAGTAGATGTTGCCTGAAGTCCAGCTCAAACCTATGGTCCACTCTATGCACAGGTACAGCATAACAACATAGCCTTGAAAATGTAGTTAGTTCTCTTCTCTCTGCTTTTAAGAGGTTTTCATTCAAATCCAAGAAAAAAAAAAACAAACAAAAAAAAAAAGAAAAGGAAAGGCTCCACATCAATATTAATTCTGATTTTTTAAACCACTTCTCCCAGTTCCTCTCAGTTTAGGGTTGCCAAACATGGGAAAGGAAGAGGAGTGGAAAGCTGAGAAATATTCACTATTATGTATTTACAATAATTGGAATCTCCTGTTCTTCTATAGGTTCCTAAGATCAAACTCTTAGTGGGATTTCAGCTTAGAAACTGCCACTGATGTGTTTCATGTTGCAGCTGAATTATACCACAGACCACAATGAAGCCCCATCCATTGTAGCTCTGCCTTATGAAACTGCCCCCTTTGTATAATTTGGCACTATTTGATGTGACTAACAGCCTCTGTCTGCTCGGGAGAGCTGTAGGCCTGAGTCAATATTTAGACGAAGGAGCTGAATCAAACCATGCCGTGTAAGGGAGTTTACTCTGCGGTTCACTGTTAGCTGTGGGTTAAGAACTCAGGCTTCGAAAGAGGCTAATTCAAACCTACTGGGAAAAACCCTGTTCCCAAGGCTGAGGGAGGGGAGGTGACCTGTGGGAGAGAGAAGCTCCCTGAGGACCAAAGGAAATGTTCCTTCCTTGGGTGAGAGACAACCAGACCATCACTCTCTGGCCCCTACCTCAACCTCCAGGCTTAGACCCTGTTCCCCAGATCCTATTACCAACCACATGCACGGATCAATGGATAAGAACGTTCTCACTGTTACAGAGCTATCAATCCTATCCCAAAAGAGCATACTACTGGGCAGCCTTGGAAATTGCCATGGGGGTGGGTCCTGAAATCTTCAGCTACCAAAGGGTCCTGAAATCCTTGCTCCTTTCTCATGAAAACACAGCATCCTGCAGGCAAGAGCCTTGACATGACTGTATCAGGCACAGTCATCCAGTTGTAACATGGGATCCAGAGTCTAAATGCTGCCATTGCAGGGGCTGAAGTAAACTGCCGGGGCAAACACCAGTTATCGAGTCTATTAGGCTGGACTGAACAAACAAAACTTTGGGGAGGATTGAAATGTTTGAAGGAGACTAAAGTGTCATTCCCCTGCAGTGTCCAGTATATCTCATTGCACTTTCCCAAGGTAAAGTCCAATATATTTAAGTGAAGCAATGTGAATAGTGTCTTTGGTAAAACCATACTACACAATCATATCAAGAAAGACTAACAACCACTTATGCCCCTTATCCTGCGAAAAGCAGCTATAAAGCCCATCCAGCTCTTGAATCAGGCTGATTGGGACTTTCCATGTTGTAAGCAACAGGTGGCAATGCAGCTTCCCAGGGCTGATCTCAGGCCAGAGGGAAGATCTGAACATCTCACGTCGTGGAGCATGTCCAAGAACTGGGTTGGCTCCTTGTGCTGAGCAAAACAGGGTTTAACCTCCACTTTTCTCACACAGGTCATGTTTTGTGTGGAGTTGCTGGCAGGGTAGGCAGGCATTTCCTGAGCATGTCCAGCTGCTTGGAGCAGGGAAATGAGTTCTGCCCAGCCCTGCAGCAATCCTGGCTATCTGAAGGGCTTAGGAACTTATTTCCATGGCTGTGAATTCTGGCAAGTGGAGTGGAGATGGAAAATTAGCCACATGATATCGGAGATTGAGATCTTGATATTGTCACAGTGACACAGCTGTGCTAATCTCACCTCATTTTTGGATGTTATGCTAGAAGAACTACTCTTTCCCTTCCCATGACCTTATCAAACTCAATTGGCCTCCTACTTTGAATCTTCCACGCATGACATATTACTGTGTCGTGTCCCCCATTCCACCCTCCCTCCCCCCTCAGGGCATGCTGGAGTAATTATTGTTTCCTGATGCTGTATTTTTGAGTAGTTCATTCCCGATGCAGCCTTGCTAGAATGAGCAGTATCAATCAATCTCAAAACACAAGGGTTGCAAGAAAATTTTCCATCATCAAATTGCTTCTCAGATCTCTCTAATTTCATTTGTCACTAATCCCAACCTCACACTTTCTGGAAAGCTCTGCAAGTGTGTTCTCTTCAGGTACTTTCCTAGTTGCATTTGATTTATCATCTACTGCTTTCACTGCAAAAACAAACTTCAGATTTTGAAGGCGAATGGCATTCAGAGGCAAAAGCACACACTTCTACAGTACAGAGTTTACCATCAAAAGACAGACTCTTTCAGGAAATTGAAGTGACTTACAATTGCAGGAATTACAACAAGGCAAGCAGAAAAGTCTTGTGACAATTAACTCTTGTAAAATAACTGTTTGGACAGGCCTATTTAGTTATGTTGGCAGGAAAGTCAGAGACAAGCTAAGCAAGCTTCACTGCAAAGTACAGCAGCTATCTGCTCACAGCAGGCAGGGCATGTGTACATTTTGAAGTCTGAACTGTATCTCTCCAGTCTCGAAATGCAACATCTCAGACACCCCCTCCCATACCCGTCCCCCCCCCCCCCCCAACCCCTCCTGTATCGCTTTAAGGCTCGAATGATTAAGCTAACGTTAACCAGATGGGAGCTTTGATACAGACAGATGAAAGCATAAAAGTGCAGACACTAGAGAGAGAAGGGAGTTACTGTACCTCAGCAAAAGTCACCCAACTTCCAGTAGCTACTGCCTGCTGCTGCCCTCTGATAACAGTGGCTTCTTGCGTGCTGACCGCTGAGCTACCTTCAATGTCAAACTGAAAAATGCTTCCCTCACTCGAGGCTGTGCTGGAGGACAAGCATCTCAAAAAGAATAATATAGGAGAAACGAGGGGCCAGACGGAGATCAAAGCCATTTCCTCCCCTTACATCCAGCAGTGGTCTTCTAGCGTCTCAGTAATTGTTTACCCTCTTCTGCAATCAGCCCCCCTTGGCTTAGTGATGCCTCAGTTATTTTAACTTTCTTTCAGCATTCAGTTTCCAGATGTGGCACTTCAAGGCAGTCTAACCAGATCCCGATTTAAAAGAGGGGGAAAAAAAAAGAAAAAAAAAAGGAAAAGAAGGGGGAAAAAAGGAAAAAAAAAAAGGAAAAGAAGGGAAGAAAAACGCTTTTGCTGCCTCCCTCGTTCACTCTCCGTGCCTGTGGCTCCTCTTTTTCCCCAGAGGCTCCAGCACAATAACATACAGATGGGCAGTGCTTAAGCAGAGAGTGTCAAACAGAGATTGTATTCCAGGAAAGCACCTCTGGCTCCCCAGCCACCTTATCTCCCCCTGTCAGGATACAGACTGACGCTCCGTTCAGTGCTCTGGCTTCCTTCATATGTTCACATCATTCCCTTTTTTACCTTTCGTGTTGAGACCCTCCCACTCAAACTTTGCCGTTCAGAAAGTGAGGTCACTCTTTCCTCCCCCTCTACACTTCCCTCCTACAATTCTCTCCGACCTCTCCACACAGATCATTGACTCTCGTGACTGTTTATTTTTTAACATTTCCAGTTTATTCAGGGGAAGGTAGAAAGGTGCCAAATTTATTAAAAAACCCTAGCTAGACCAACCTTTCCTTGCGGCATGGGGGAGGGGAGGCTGTGGGCGGGAGAAGGAGGAGGAAGAGGAGGAGGAGGAGGAGGAGGAGGGAGACAGCCTGGCTGTGTCATGGGCTAAGAGGTCTAAGTGGTTTCTCTAACATGCTTCATTCAGTTCTTTCCATCAAGCCCACCTCTCAGCTTCTCGTTGGCTTGTGAAAAAGAATATCGTTCACTGCGATTTTGGAAAATGACTTCATTCCTCAGACTCATGAACTTTTATTTACAAAGAGCATCTTGTATTCCTTTTTCAAGAGATGCTTTGTGAGGCCCTGGTAACAAGGCTTGCAGTGTGTATATGAAAGTGAGCTGAATATGTTGCCCACAGCTCACTTAATTTTATGGCTACAATCTCAAAAAGACAAGACAGTAACCCTTGCTAGGTTTTGGGATGAAGTCAGGGAATAATTATACTAATGTGCACCACTCCAGACAAGGGGGCAGCAGGCTGTCCCTCAGAGGTCCTGTGTGCAGGGGGTGGTAGCACCCTTGGCCTGTCAGGCTTCATTCTTAAATCTTCATGGAAATCAGCTTATTGAGCTTCATTCTGAGAGTGGATTCCTTCTTTTTCCCTTCCTCCATCAGTTTCTTTCTCATTGAAGGTATTATCAACTAAAGAAGCAGCCCATTGAGAATTAAGGGTAAAATTAAGTGTTTTGGTGATCTGTTAACTTCCATATACCTGTAGGCACAGTTCTGGGCCCACAAGTTTTTTACAGAGAGATGTAAAGAAGTTCACCATGAATAAACTCTGCCTGATTCAGAAATAGTGTAGATGAACAAGCAAGGCCACTCAAGCTCGTGGGACAAAGTATTACCCCGGCAAAGAAGAAAATGGTGTGAAACACAAGGCTCTCAGGTTTGGGACCAAGGTTTGTGGGAGGAAATAAAAGATATTAAGGGTAGTTGCGAGTCTCTTGGTTAGTTGAACCTGATGTGGTGGCAAGAACACTGTCCTCCGAGAGCCTGAGGGTGAGACATCATTGAAAGCTGCCAGGACTTTTCTAATTCTTTCTGATAATGGCAGTCATGGGAATGGCCTGTAACAGGTCTGAAGGCTCAGGAAGTATGAGACCAGGGAAGGCCCAGGCAGGGACTCCATGAGCCTCCGATTAGGCCTCCTGCTGCAGTGACAAGCTTGAGGTGTAAAGATAACATTAAAGCAGGGGCACAAAACAGAACAAAACATCTTGACAATAAGTGACAGAATCACAATTCCCATGGTGGCAATGGAGATTTTTAACCACCCAGTGACTTGTGTGAAAAATTACTGGGATATGTGTGAGACAATTTTTTGAATACTCTTTTTTGGAAAAATGAACCTCTACTCGAACTTCTCCATCTTCTGCAGGCATTTGGCAGCAGGCTGGCCGGCTTGGTGAGGCATCCTTTTAACTGAAGGACTCAGGGGGTGGCATCCAAAGTGCATCCTCTTGCACTCCTCCTGGGAAACCGGCATGCTCAATTACCCCTCTGAAATGCCTGTACACCAACATATGCAGTGTGGGGAATAGACAGGAGGAATTAGAGATCTGTGTGCATTCAGGGGGCCATGATCTCACTGCAATTACAGTCATAGCTCGCATGACTGGAATGCTGTCATGGATGTCCATGTGTTTTTAAGAAAGACAGGCCAGCAAGGTGAGGTGGTGGAATTACTCTTTATGTGAGAGAGCAAATCGAATGCATGGAGCTCTGCCTAGGGGTGGATGAAGAACTAATTAAGAGCTTAGGGGTAAGAATTAGGGACAGGCTAACACGGGTGACACTGTTGTGGGTGTTTACTACAGACCACCTGGTCAGGAAGAGGAAGTGGATGAGGCCTTCTACAGCCAGCCAGAAGTAGCCTCACGATCACAGGCACTCATTGGGGACTTCAACCACCTGGCTTTCTGCTGGAAAGACAGCACAGCTGGGCACACACAGAGGTTCTTGCACAGCACTGATGATAACCTTTTGACACTGGTGGTGGAGCAGCCAATGAGGAGAGGCGTGCTGACAGACCTTGTACTGACAAACAAGGAAGAGATGGTTGGGGATGTGAAGTTCTTTGGGGGTAGCCTTGGCTGCAGTGACCATGAGAAGGTGGAGTTAAGGATCCTGTGTGGAGGAAGCAGGGCAATAAGTAGGATTACAACCCTGGAGTTCAGGAGAGCTAACTCTGGCTTCTTCAAAGATCTACTTGGAGGAACCCCATGTGTTAGGACCGTAGAAGGTAGGGGGGTCCAAGAGAGCTGCTTAATATTTAAACATTACTTTCCCTAAGCTCAAGATCAGTGCATCTCTTTGAAGAAGAAATCAAGCAAAGGGGGCAGAAGACCTGCATGGATGAGCAAGGAGCTTCTGGAAAAACTCAAATGAGTAAGGAAGTTTATGGAATGTGGAAAAAGAGACAGGCCACTTGGGAAGAATATAGAAACATTATCAGAGTATGTATGGATGTGAAGAGGAAGGTTAAGGTCCATTTGTAATTAAATCTGGCAAGACATATCAAGGATAACAAGGGCTTCTTCTAGTACATCAGTAGCAGAGGGAAGGCCAGGGAAAATGTGGGCCCTCTGCTGAATGGGGGAGAGTTACTGAATGGCTTTTGTGCTTCAGTCTTTACTGCTGAGACCAGTCCTCAGGAATCCCAGAACTTGGAGGCAATAGAGAAAGTCTGGAGAAAAGAACTTCCTCTTTACCAAGGAGGATCGGGTTAGAGATCATTTAGGCAATCTTGACAACCACAGATCCATGAGGCCTGATGGGATGCACCCACAGGTGCTAGAGGAGCTGGCAGATGTTATTGCTGAGCCATTTTTTATCATCTTTGAAAAGTCATGGAGAACAGGAGAGATGTCTGAGGAGTGGAGGAAAGCCAATGTCACTCCAGTCCTCAAAAGGGCAAGAAGGAGGACCCAGAAAACTACAGGTCAGTCAGCCTCATATCCATCCCTGAAAAAGTGATGAAACAGCTCCACAGAAGGTTATTAGGAGTAATCATCATGGATTGACCAAGGGGAAATTATTCTTATTACCTTTTATGATGAGGTTGGGTAGATGAGGGGAGAGCAATGGATGTTGTCTACTTTGATTTCAACAAGGCTTTTGACACTATCTCCCATAACATAATGACTTTGAAGAATTCAAGGCGTACATGTTTTTACAATTAGCCTTAAGTAAGTAATTGTATTAGAAACCTATAATAGCATTTGGAGGGCAGCACCTGTAGGGCATCCTGAGCCAGTCCAGCTGGCCTGGTAACAGATGGAAACAGCCCACAGTGCCGCAAAACGCGGCTCCACTGCTCAAACAGATGTTAGAAAGGACAGTAGCTGCTGGAGCAGGAGATACTGGAGGAGAGAGAGAGAGATGAGGGTGCACCAGGAACACACAAAAGGAAACATATGAGGATCCAAAAAGAGGACTCATGAAGAGAAATGTGAAGAGATACATTTTGAAAAATGTAAAGGAGGAGATGTGGTAGGGAACATTGCTGGGGAGATGGCTCGTGATGCAGTCTTGGAAGGACACGCTTGTTGCTGGGTTAAGGTGCCCAATGGAGGGTGATCCACACCAGGCTAGGGACACCCTGAGAGAGTGCAGCCTGTGTGTGACACATGCACATCAGGGAAAACCCTGAGGATGAAGAGTAGAAATAGGCTAGGATGATCTTGGACAGAAGTTGAGTCTTCAGAGAGAGAAGGAAGGTATTTGGGTGTTTAATAATCTGTTTTCTTGCTCTTTTCTAAATATTTGAACAAGTGATTAAACAATTCTGTTTATTTCCAATAAAATATATTATGTGAAATGTCCTGAGTCAGGACTGTTTTGTCTGCAACAGTAATGAATATAGAAGTGTCGTGAATGAAGTGCTGAATGAGAACAATGGTGAACCAGAACAATGGTGAGCTTCGTGGGCCTTGCTCAGCACAGCCAACTGACCATCTGTACCCTGCACATTCAATTAAGGGACTTTCTCCTTCAAGTGTTCTACTGATTCACCAGAGCAAGAAATACCATTAGAAATATCATTAAGGAGGCTTATATTACAAGTTCTTCAAGTAAAGCCTGATATGTATTGCACATATGTAGCAGGTACCCAGATGGACTTCAGAGTATGATGAAGGTGTCTCACCTAGTAGGTCATTAATAACGCAAAACCCCTGAAACACATTTACAGAAAACAGAAAATACCATTCTTGAAATGGGCAAAAGTTACCAAGTGAAAACAACATTGTTACCCATCACATTCCTTTATGTAAACAACAAAGATATTCATATCCCTGTAAAAGAGGGATGCTAATTTACAGCCCTTTGAGAGAGGAAATATTGTAATTACTCCTTAGATCAAAGTCCTAAAAGGAGAAATATGTCTGCTTTGTGTCTTTGGAAAATCCCAGACTGGCCCAAGGCCTTAGAAATCTAAAAAAATCTCATGTTATGATTCTGTATAACAAAGGAAATATAGATAACTTCAAATGGTAGAATTATTAAATAATGAATAATTTATTCTAAAGAAATAGGAAAATAGAATAACTCAAGAAAAACACAGTTCATTACAGCTCAATAGATCTAAATTTCTCTGCAAATTGTATTAGTCCCATAACAGGAAAATTATAACCAAAATATTCTGAGCAGAAAATATAATATATATATTGATTTCCCTAAATATCACTGTACAGTGGGACTGCTTGTTAAGAAAAA